TAAAACAATTAATTAATTATCATATAAGGAAACTAAATATTTAATTAGTTGATAATTACCTTTAACTAGATCAAGATAACACTTATATTTATCAAAAAACGGATTCATATTGATCTAATTAGTTTATGGTAAGTTTGGATAAGATAAACACAAAGAAATCCCGAATCTGGCCCTTCCTGACGCTTGGACTCGCCGAGTGCACAAGGGGACTCGCCGAGTCAGGCCTACTCGCCGAGTCCACCATGGAACTCGACGAGTCAGTGACTCAAAACCAAAAAATCGAATTTTGCAGGTTTGTTTCAGTTATTCAAGCAACAATTTGTAGAAAACCAATCTAGGCTCTGATACCACTGTTGGGTTTTAGCCATAAGAACTTTCCTATGTGCGCATGCAAAACCCTATTGCTTGGATCTAGGCTTTCTATCAAACATGCTTTTGAATCCAAGACTTCTAATGGCTAATTAGGTTAAACAAATTAATACAGATCTAGAATCATACCTTTGAGTTCCTTGTTGATCTTCTTGTCTTGGAGCTTCTAGAGTCACAATTGTCACTCCTCTAATGGCTTACAAACACCAATAGCAAGCAAGATGATTTAGGAGAGAGGAGAGGGGATGGAATTCGGCCAGAGGTTCCTTGCTTTAGGTTCTGAAAGGTTGTACACGAATTCCACACCCCAAGGGCCTATTTATACCTTTAGACTCCTTAAGGGTTTCACCCTAAACCCTAATTGGATAATCTTCACTTAAGGCTATCCAAATCCATTCCATAGATATCCTTATGGACTATTTTGAGCTATCCTAAAGCTCTTAGAAACCGTCCAAAGTCCATCCTAATGGATTTATAGTCTAAAGTCTAACTATCAAACAATTGACAGTTTATACCCTCTTATTTAATTAATCTCTTTAAGTCACCAAATTAATACCAATTAATTTATGACTTATATTAATCAAATAGCTAAATATTATTCCTTATAATATTTACTCTCTCTTAACAAATCATCCTTCAAGTTGCTATGGTGAAGGCAACCCAAAAGGACCATGCACCACCGAATATAGTTATAGCCTTAGACACTATTCCAACAGATTTCTTGTTCCTCGATCGAATCGTGGAATATCATCTTCATGTGGAATGCTTGTTCCACGGGATTTGAGAAGACCATAGTTGTCGAAGTTTGACATCGGGAGAAAAACGAATTCAAGTTAGTTGATTGATTGAGTCCTTGGTAAATCACCCAAATGAAATTCCAAGGCTAAGACCCAACACAATATCCTACAACTCGGGAGAGGGATGCCGTAACCCAAATTGCAGAACATTTGAAGGTAAGTGAATGACGATTCACTAGTTTCCACCATGAAAAACGAAAAAGAAATTTAAGTTTTAAATCTATGAAAACTCCTAGATCCTTTGAGATTCATTGAACATTTCAATGGCATGTTTAAATCTCGATATGCCCCTCTTGTTTGTGACTGGGATGCCGAGGATCACAAAGCGGGTGTGAATAACCATGCAAACTACATGGTGCCCTCACATGTTACAATCACCTATTCGATGTGCCGGTAAACCACACACGCTCCACCGAACTATGACAAACATTGAGTCACCCTTTGCTACCTTTGCTTAGAACCATTTAGTGTGCCGGTAAACCACACACGCTCCACTAACGTCTTCGCAAGGGCACAAAGTGTAATTTCATGGAATTGCATCAATTCACTTTTGCCTAAGTAACTAAGATTGGGAATTTGAAAAACATTTAGTTACTTTGTATTTCATTATACTTATAATGGAAGGTTTCGTCCTATCCTACCCGTTCGGCTAACGACCCTCCACTAGTCAAGAGTGCGGTGGGTAAGAGTGGATACCCATTCAATCGCCATTTTATAGGCAATTTCCTTAAACACCCCTTATAGACCAGCTTCGTGAATGAGGCCTACTAACGGTAAGACTGACTTTTACTCATACATATATATAATGTTAGACTTTTAATGTTATATATAGTATAGGGTGTATTTTATACTTTTAAAATACTATAGGTTAACTTTAACAATTACACTTTTAATTCAATTAAATGGTTAACCTAAACTTTTATGGATTTATTAAACCTCTTTTAATTATACTCCTTAATTAATTAATAAAACCATAAGGGTGTGATTTGAACTTTTCAAAACATTACTAGGTTTTAGAATTTAACATTTCTAATTAAACTTTTAATCAACTTTTAAATTCCAAAACTTGAGGGCAAGTTTTGAAACCTTTTTCAAAACATTAGGGTTTTAACTATTTAAATTTCAAAACTTCAAAACTTTTGGGTTCAAATTTAAACTATAAAACCTAAAGGGGAAAATATGAAACTTTTCATAACAACAAGGATCAAATAACAAATAATCTAAACTAACATTTAGTTACATAATTATCATATTTGATTTGTTTAATGATTTCTTGCAAAACAATTTATCAATTTACTCAAAATAATTAATCAATTATCTTATAAGGAAACAATTATCTTGTTAATTGATAATTATCTTTAATTAGATCAAGAATATAGTCATATATATATATATAATATATATATATATATATATCATAAAATCGGATTTATATTGATCTAACATGATAAGGTAACTATCCAAATGCAAAAACAGCAAGAAATCCCGAGATAAGCATTATCTGACGCTCGAACTCGCCGAGTACCACACTGTACTCGCGGAGTTGAGGTCTACTCGCCGAGTACACTGTGGTACTCGCCGAGTTCCTCAGCCATAAAGCCCAAAAAACGATTTTCCAGTTATACAATGCATCAATACAATTGAAACCAAGCTAGGCTCTGATACCACTGATGGGTTTTGGTCATAAGACATCCTATGTGCTCATACAAACCCTAATGCTTGGATCTAGGTTTCTCTATTGTACATGCTTTGAATCCAAGACTATAACCCCTAATTCTAGCATGCAAGTAATCATATTAATTTGTAATTAGGTTTAAGATCATACCTTGATTGTTATGTAGCAATAACAATCCCAAATCTCCTTGTATTGACTTTGGAAGGCTTAGAGTCACAAGTGTCACTCCTCTAATGGCTTACAAACACCAAGAGCAAATGGAGAAGGTATAAGGAGAGAGGTGAGAGGTTAGAATTCGTATCTAGGACGTCTTGGGAAGGGATACACGAATTCATGACCCTAGGGGTGTTTATATAGGTGTAGAGATAGGGTTTCAGTCATTATCCTTATCTAGTTGATTATCCATTAAGCAACCAATAAGATAATCCTTGAATCCTTATCATACTCGAATTCTAAGGCTTTCCAACCTTAAATTCGTCCACCATATAAATAAGATAATCCTTACCTTATTTTGTAACTATCACATAATTACAAATCAGCCCCTCTAGTTTAATTAATTACATTTGATCACAAAACTAATTCTTAATTAATTATTAACCAATATTAATTAAACAAATATGATTTCTCCTTTAATATATTATTCTTATAACATATTAATAAATCATATTATCCTCTCTCTCTTTATTCATTTCTCCAATCAAGTTGCTTTGGTGAAGGCAACCCAAAAGGACCATGCACCATCGGGTCAAGTACATACCAAAATAGTTATGGACTTAGACACTAATCCAACACGAGTTAGGGCCACCAACTCATCGAGTAGCCCTTCCAAAATGAATTAAGAAATAAATTAAGTGCATTCCAAGAACCAGGCGTTACAATATTCAAGTTCAGTTGATCCATCAAATATCACAAACTCTTGTAATCATGTAGATGGTACATAGAACCCCACACAAGTAATGCCGCTAAATCTTGAGGGTGAATATCACATCTCCCAACTCTACATATTGAGTAGGATAATTTGCCTCATGAGGTTTTAACTGTCTCGAAGTGTAAGCAGTCACATGAATAATTATTGTTTGTTGATGTAATGTCAGTTTTAGGATTTAGAGAATGTATAGAAACAACTTTTGTTTAGGATTTAAAAGTTATTAGGAGGACAACATTTGGTCACTTTGTTTAGGAGATATAAACAACATTAGGTAATTTCCAAAGGCTTAAGAGTTTATTTTTTTTATTCATGATGGCTTTCACCTTTTGCAAGCTGTTTAATTTAGTAAACAATGTAAATGTTTGCTTCAAATAATTTTTTGTCTATATCTTTAGGATTTAAAAGTGCTTGGAAAGAAACTAAAAGTTTAAGAATTTTTTTTCCTGTGTGCAGGGGCATAATATGACTCGAAATTCCTCTTTACAAGTGCTTTTAATTTTCAAGAAAATACAAATTCAAAAGGCATCAGGTATGTTTGGTAGTCTTAGAAGGAAATGTGTTTTTATTTTTGAGCTACTTAAATGAAAGATATACTAGCTTATTATAATATCATATTTTCATTTTGTCTTATTTATTGTGTTGTACCGTAAAAAAGTTCTCAATTATTGCAATAATAAATAAATAAATGAAAGTACATTGCTATATTTGTATTTTTTTGTGATAATTGATTATGGTGCATTGAAATAAGAACAATTGTTGGCCTTTGATTCAAAACTCAAATTGAAGAACATTTGTGAGCCTTTATCGATTCAACTTACTCGGTAATTTGCCAAGTAATCCACTAAATAATTCTCAATTTCATGTTTGTAAACACTTAGTTAAACTTTTGTAGTTAACACTTTTAATGTGTATTATTAGGCACATTTAATGTATTATTAGACAACGTTCATTAGTAACATGTATTTGTATTTGATATTTTTTTATGTTTATTTGTTTTATTATAATGTTATTTGTTTTGTGGTTGTTATAAGTTTAATGTAATGGAGTTTTTTCAATAATTTAGACATAAAAAAACTGGATTTTTTTTAATAATTTTTTGTTGTTTTTTAAAAAAAAAATTAAAACTAATTACCTACTGAAAATCCGTAGGTAATGTGAGCCGTAAGAAATTTATAGGCAATAAAGTCAATGGTAGTCAAAGTGGGTTCCGTCGGTAATCCGTAGGAAATCCGTAATTATGTATTTCCGTAGCTATTCCGTTGGTATTATACCTACGGAAAAAACCGTAGTTATTTTGTAGCTAGTCTGTTGAAATTCTGTACGCATAAATTTCCCACGGGCATTTATGCTACAGGGCATTTTCCGTAGCCAATCCGTAGGTATCATCTTATAGCTACAGAATAACTACGAATTATGCAGTAGCTGTTGCCCTAATTTTCTTGTAGGGTTATCACCTATTACATACCCAATTTTTGGAGCGTTTAGTTAATAATAACATTTTTCATAACACCTATTACATACCCAATTTTGAAAGCCAGCTAGATGGCTGAATTCTGGACATTGTTTCCGCAAACTCATATCATAAGCGAGTAAGAAGATCCACCATGTGCGGACGTGGTCTATATTTAGCTACCAAAGGTCGGGCTTTTGGCATCGTGAGACCCGGTCCTTCCTTCATCTCCACCTTCTCCACACCAATTCTCTCCCACTCAAAACACTGAACCAGAGTCCCTAGGGTCAACCCCACCATTCGCATGGCCAAACCTTCACCAGGACACCCCCTTCTCCCTGACCCAAACGGCATAAACTTGAACCCATGATCCCTCTGCCCTTCAACCTGATCAACAAACCTCTCCGGCTTAAATCTTTCCGGCTCCTCCCACAGCTTCGGATCATTTTGCATCGCCCAAAGGTTCACCAAAACCATTGTTCCCGGTGGGACGAGGAAACCACCGACGATGCATTCTTCTGTGGATTCGTGGGGTGGAATCAGTGGTGCAGCTGGGCACATACGAAGTGTTTCGTTTATAACTCCATGAAGATAGGGAAGATTAGGAAGATCGGAGTCGTTCATAAGTCTTGAAGAACCCACTTTCTTGTCGATTTCGTCAACAACCTTTTTTAGGGAATCCGGGTGGTTCAGTAGAAGAGTTAAAGCCCACTCTAGGGTTCCTGCTGAAGTATCAGTTCCAGCTGAGATCATCACCTTTAATTTGAATCCATAATTAATCCACAAAATTAATTTGGTTAATTAACATAACCTACTTAAAAATCTATATGATCGATATTCCAGAACGATATGTGTTTTGAAGACTTACTAGTATCAAGCCTCGAATGATTTCATCTGTATAGTATTCCGGATCAGTTTCTTGCAAGGACAACAGGACATCGATAATAGTCAAAGAATCATGACTTCTCATTCTCCTGTGCCCTTCAATCATGTCTTGAATGGAGGAATCCTTCTTTTGATTTAGTTTTACCATCTTCTTTTCAATCGAGTTTACACCAATCCACTTTGCTAGAGGCACAAAGTCTCCGATATTTGATGCACCACTCAACCGGAAAGTTTCCTCCACCATTTCCTGGAACTTTCTTGCAGCCTCCGGTTCTCCCTTGTTGTCGCTATATAAGCGTCTCCTTCCTGTGATCATTCTCATTATCGTGTTCAACGTAACGTTAAAAAAGCATGACTTCATTTCAACGACCACGAATCCAGGGTTTTTAGAGCTCTTGTGTAACGTGGACATTAGAGAGAGAACCTCATCACGACGAATGTTTGTAAACATATGAATACGATTGTTGGACAAAATTTCAATCGAAGCAATTCTTCTTAAGTTTCGCCAATGGTGTCCATACGAGGCCCAAGTAAGGGTGGTGTAGTTGTAACCAAGGTGTTTTCCGGCAAGTAGCTTTGGCCGATTTGCAAAGACTAAATCGTTGGTTGTAAAGCAGTCTTCAGCAGCAGAAGGAGATGAGACAACGAGGACTTTTCGTGAACCAAATTCAAGAAACACAACAGGGCCATACTTGTTGGAAATCTTTGCTAGGGTTCTATGAAGAGGTTTTTTTAAGAGATACAGATGCCCGATTATGGGTAGTGAGAGAAAAGGCCTTGGTGGCAATCTATGGAACATATGAAGGAAATGGTTGCTGATCATGTATAAGAAGAGAGAAAATAAAAAGATAGAGCACCAATTCATCATGGAAAGATTTAACAGAATCGACTGGCTTTTGACTATAAAATCAAGAACTACGAGGTGGTATATATCAAGACTCAAGTAAAGCAGTAAACTAATCGGTATATATATAAGAAAACATACGTACTAGACAATTAAAGAAATACATGAGCCCAAGAATATTGATTCGTATTACGAGGAACACTGATACTGGTGTTTGCATCCAAGATATTAGTCGGCTATCAGGTTTTTTAATTAACGCAATGTTCGTTGTTAAGATGATTGAATATTTAATACTCTTATTCTTATTTTTTCGATCCTGTTTCATTCTGTTTTTTTCTAGTGAGCTTTCATTTTGAAGGTGATTATTCTAATGTGGTGTCCTTTTCATGCACTACGAATCAGATGTTGATGGATGGGTAGGAAACAAATGTCTTTCCCAAATGGCGTATAATTACTTGGTTATCTGCTCTCTCGTGATGTGTTCATGGCAGAAACAACTGTGCTTTGTCTCCTATAAGTTTGTTACAGCATCCAAGATTGTAGGATAAGGCTTTTCATGATACCTCACTAATAGTAAAACAAAAAAAAACAAATTCTAACTTATTTAACTTTTTGGTGTAGTTTTTTCATTAAAATTTTCAAATCAAAAAACATATTTTTATTTCTATATTAAGTTTAAACCCGTCGGTTTAAAAAAAACAACATTGAAATTATAAAATAAATAAATAAAACGTAATCATTCATAAAGTGGTGTAATCAAATAACACCAAACATAAGAAGTGAAAATACATTTAAAAGCTTGGCTCATGTGTTAGAATCAAAGCTAATTGTCATATTTAGTTATGCATATTGCTAAATATAATTTACTCATAGAGTTTGTTCAAGTCTTGATAAAAAGAAATGTGGATCATTTATGAACATGAGTAGACATGAATTGCTTTGGACCCTTTGGTTTATTATTGGTACCTTGTTTGGTTGTCTAAACATCTTTGAAAAATAAGAGCAGTATTGAGGAGAACAGATCAATATCATGTATACCTAACCCAGTTAAAACGAAATAGCAGGCTAGCGGATAAAGAAAATTAAGTTCTTTTTATCTATGATTTTTAAGCAGTGAAAGACAATATACAAAACATTTCATATAAAAGAGTGCTTAAAAATCTTAATGTCAGGGCCGGCTTGGAGATTTGAAGGGCCCTGTGCTAAAAAGAAAAATGAGGCCCTAAATATAAATTTTTAATATATAAGGTAAACAAACTTAAAACGGTGAATTGTCGTTACGAAAAATTTAAAAGTAAACAAATTAATTAAAAAGGAACTTATGGAAATTTATAAAAAGTTCAAGGGTTAATTATGTAACTTTTAAAAACTGATTTGTTAAAGATGGTGGAAGTAAGGATTGATTGTGAAATATATAGTTGAGTACTTTGTTTTTGTTATCCAGAAGAATTCAATGAATAAATTTCCCTAAACTACACCTATTATAGTTTAAGTGTTTGTTTTACCGTAATGAAAACCTTTGTTAACTTTTTGTAAAAATCTGTAATATTCTTGTTCTATGTAATCCACTGTTTGTACTCAAATAGTACAAAACAGTTTGAAAATGATTTTATATTTATATAAATACAATATTTATAGAATTGTGATTAATTACAGCTTCGAATAAATAACTTTACCCCAACCCCACAACCAAATAAGGAATAGAAAATGAGGTCAAATTACATATTCTAAATCTTCTAAATCCAAATTATATAATTTACACATATATGAATATGTAATTTTGCTAATGATAACAATTTAAAAACATTAAAAGCATTTTACATATTAACATAATATTTATTGTGTTTCACTTGTATCCCCCCCCCCCCCCCCCCTCCGGGCCACCCCTAAAATAGTTAAAAATCATAAAAAATAATGGGGTATGAACTCACCTTATGTAAGTGATTCGGTTGTAGATTTGATATAGGATTTATTTCCACGAGTGAAGTCGCGTAGAAAAACCGAGTCCTAATTAGAATTTTATGTAATATAAATGTATACAATTAGTGTATATAAACATAAGAATCATAACGAATTGGAATAATTTGTAAGTTTCACTTACAAATAAGAGTGTTAGAAGCAAAATAGAAGATTCAATTGGTAAGTTATAATGTTTTGAATAAAATAAAGATCTTGCTGTTATTGGGTTTTCAGTTGAGTCTTCTTGATGAAGTGAAGAACACTTGAAGATTCAATTGTTTTCGGCCCAAAAATAAGAAGATTGGAAGGTGAAATATATAGTATAAAAGAAGGGCCAAAACTGTAAATTGAATTTACAATATCAAAATGTTGCGCACACGAATCGAACCAGTACCGTTTGATTGAAAAGTAGAGATGCAAAATCTAAATAAATTCATATATATTTAGTTATTAAATATATAATTTAATTAAAACTTGGACCCTATTTTTTTCGGGGCCCTGTGCACCTGCACCTCTTGCCCCCCTTAAAACCGGACCTGCTTAATGTAATATGATTAGAAGTTTTATTATACCAATTTGCAGTTAATATCAAAAGTGACACAAACATAATTATAATTTTTTACAAAGATGTTTTGATCCATAAAAGGGTTGAAATATCATTTTACAATTTAGTTGCACCAATATTAAAATAAGACCATTCCTTCCAATTCTTGCTACAACCGTGGTGATGGTTACAAACAATGAAAAAAACATAACAAAATCCACATATTCCAAAAAGACCATTTTGACCCTTAATCTTATTTTTGCTCGAGATCAAGAAATCTTTAATATTCTTCAATATGTTGTTTTTAATTTTTAATCATAAAAAGACTTTATGCTCTTTTCTTCTCCTTTTGACTTTCTTTTACAAACATAAATAGAGCATCCAATTTTACTTTTAATAAATAAAAAAAAAAAAGACCGTTTTACCCTTTATTATTTTTATCAGATCAGGTCATGCTACCATTGATTTTTGATATTCTTTTCCTCTTCATCTTCGAAGTGCGAATGAATCCTAAAAACAACCAAAATATGGAATTTTTCACAATCCATTAAAAATTAATCATTCTCTTTTTCAATGGGAATTCTCATTTTCTTCATCAAACCCCCAAAACCCAACTTTAAACCCAATCAACTTAAGTCGAGTATCGTTAAAAGCGTTTAAAACTACTTAAAACAACAAAAATATGTCTTGTTAAAAAACAATCATTTATAATTCGGAATATGTGTTAATACATATTGTCTGATAAAAGTTCAATATTTGATATTAAATACAATTTACAAATTTGAATTAATAAAAAATAATTAAAAACATTGACAAAATTATTTGATGATGTCGTTTTAAATTTTATTAACATTTTCGGTTAAATAGCTTTTAACAAACAAAGATAATCTAATACACAAATAAAAGTTATTGAAGTAAAAGATTTATTTTCAACCCTAAATAAAAATAATTTGAAATTAAATGATTGTTGGAGGTTGTTTATGATTGATGATATAAATATAAAATGCATTTTAATTGTTGAACCAATAAATCTTGGATAGAAATATCACGTGAAATATATAACATATTGACTATTTCTTTATTTTTATCTTTCAGTTAATAAAAATAAATAATAATAATAATAATAATAATAATAATAAACCATTTCTATCTTGTACATTATCAACTACAAGTTCCTGATAGCATCAACTTTAAAAAGCCCTTTGGATCAACACAATATATAGTAGGGACAAAAATGACAAATAACCATGAAGATAAGCCTCATTAAATAGTAATAAAACTAGTAGTGGATACACGAGATATCAATATACTTTGTAATGAGTTCCAACAACAAAAAAGATGAACAAAACAAAATTTTGCATACAAATAACTTTTTGCAATGAATTTTCTAGTTTACGTTTTGTGTCGATTTAAACCATATTAAAGCTAGATCCTTTCCCTTTCTCGTAGCTTGACCATTTTTATGTAAGCAACCTTCTGTCTAATCCTTTTAGTTCCTTAATCATCGAGCTCTTTTCCCCTTCTTCTAGAAAATTTCCAAAAGAAAGACAAAGTCAAGAGCCTAATAACCATTGAGCTTGTTAACGAAATGATTGCAGAAAAAGTAGCAAATTTGTTAACATCTACACTTGTATTCATATTCCTTTTCCATTACCTTCATCGATGGAATGTCCTAAAACCAACTTTCCATCACCATTACAATAGCAGGGGAGATGAGGTGAAAGTCGTTCCATAGCTAATTACTGGGCATAATTAGATGAAACAAAGAATACATACTTACTAACCAGTATGATAGTATGATCTAGTTTCCCTAAAATCATTGTCTCGATAAGAATAGAGTGTCATTTTCATGACAATCAACCGTTGATTTCCATATAGTTAGATTCTAAAGATGTTCTTTTGGTAAAAAGAGTAGAACCAAAACAACCATTGCTACCAACACAATAAATACAAAATAGTAGGGTTAGTTCATGATCAATGTTTTACCTGAAGTTATCGGAAAAGATTACCATCAATTTCTGATTCCCAGTTCTTCCATAGCAAGATATGTGTTTTGCAGAGAAACACCAGGAGTAGAAGCAATTGAGAAAATATATGGAGACACTGAAGTTTAGTAAATACAATTCAAATTTGAAAATGATATTGCTTCATGATATCTTGCAATTTGACAGTTGTTTCATTGATTTTCTTGCTAATAAAACCGAAAGTAATCAAATTTAAATTCAAATATATCATTAAATCTCGTTCTTCCAGCCGGATTTAGTGGGCATCGCTTCGATAGGAGCATAAGGGTATAATTGGAAATTCAGTTTGATCATATAGGCAGAAAAAATAAGTTGTAGATGGGCTAATGAGTTGACATGTGGCAATGTAGGTACTTATTTATTATGATACTAGGTTATAGTGACGTCCCCATTTTCACGGCTAGAAAATACTGGTTTTGTTGATGCTTTGTTTGAAAATCAAAGTAACTTTTTAAATAAAAGTGTTGCAGAATTTGTTCCTAGAAAAACATGATAAATACGTTATCAAAGCATTTCCGAAGAAATGCATTTTTATTCATTTTCAAAACATTGGGATGTCATCGTCAATACAGAAACATAAGCATAAACAGAACTTACATTCATTTACACTAGTGATCTACATCTCTTTTAAATCTCTCGATGTAAAGTAGCTTCATATCGACACATGTGATACAAATAAACTTAAGTGGGTCAGGTTGAGAAACCTGGTGAGTACATAGGGCTTTCAATCTACAATAATACATTTATTATGTTTAAACATCAAACAGTCAACCCAATTACCCATCCACATTA